GTAACTTAAAAATCCTATTATAAGTTTAGCATCCTATCCTTGCACATCCACTACTGAATAGTCGAACAATAAAACTAATCTTACCATTCAACTTAATACGTTGTCAGTGTTCCATGGTGAACTTCTACTTTACGGATTCAGCAAAAGCGTAGCTGAAAGATCAAATAAGCCTTTTGATATACTACTAAATATACTGAATCCAAAATTCTAAAGTGCCTCCACTGAAACGAGGATGACAGATTTTCCTGAATGAAAACCATTCACTTCCATTCGCATCTCTTAAATTAGACGTAATTTGTGAAAATGAGGCAAACAAACTAAATTCAGCCATAACAAATTAAGTTAGAAACCGGAAGTTATCTAAGGAAAGCAGATGGAGGCTCACGAAACTGATTACAATCATAAAATATAAGAAAACGAGAAATACATTGATCTTGGTGACTAGCAGAGGAATCCAGAGTGCGCGTTTCGCCCTATTTGGGACGCATCATCTGGGTTTACCTCCACCCCAGTGGGGCTTGAACCCAGTATCCATTGCTTCAAACGTCAATGGTGTGCAGGTGCGTCCTACTGACGAGTCCTCAACAGGACAAAACATGCATCCTATATTCCTCTGCTAGTCACCAAGATCGGCAGAACATCATGAATATCCACCAGTATCCAGACACCCGCATAGGAGTCCATCTGCCGACAGCGGTTGAGTAATTCGGCCCTGTATAGCAATGGGAAATAAGCAGTATCATAACAAAATGAAGAGTAGTTCAGCGGAATGTGACACTTTTCGACAAATTGATTTACTAAACTATATAACTGTATTCGTTTACAATTTTTTGGTGAAAATGTATAACTTGTTTCATTTGTTGAAAGCAACAAGTTAAACATGGCAACATCCAAGGTGATACATGGAATGAAAAACCAAAATATCATTCTCATCCTAAAATAATCAGCATGCTTATGAATGCTGTAAAGTAGCCGAAAGGCACAGTAAGAAACAAAGTTAAATTTTCATGACATAAAAATACAAAACAGCTTAGATTCACCGTATAAGGTGTACTTTTACTTGTGTAATCCCTTTACGATCGTGAAGGTTACCACCTTCTGTACGAAAAATTGAATAACAACCTGAGAACTTAATGTCAGATTCATACCCTTAAAAAGGATCTTCCTAGCAAGATCGAAACGTTGAGGAATAATACAAAATATGTGTTTATTTTGGTATTTATTCTAATATACTACGCCGAGATTACACAAGTAAAAATACACCTTATACGATGAATCATACTAATTCGGTGTCCAAGTTTTTCAAACCATCCAGTCCATTGTTGGTCAGGATACCTTCAAACTACTTAGATTAGTGAGTATTGCTCAAGATATCATACAAATTAAGTAACGATGATTAAGTCTGCATAACCAGTTAAGTAATATGACAAAATATTTATGAATGACTTGTTATCAAGGTGGCAATATGTAATATGATGCTCCCCCTCTCTAATTCAGTTGCAGTTGGATTGGGATAAGGAGTTCTAAATAGGAGACCAGTGTGAATACGATCAAGCGGTGATAACGCGTCAGGAATTCACATGGTAGTTGGGCAAAACCCATTGTGATTGAAGTCGAGTCTCGTAGCTCAGTTGGTAGAGCACCAAGCAGGAACCCTGGTGATCGCTGGTCCGAATCCGGCCACGGTCCAAATTTTCATTTCACCTTCAATCGTCGTCCAGTATCAATACTAGTCTGTCCAACCACGGTTATCTAAGGTAGTCAACGTTGTAATAGATAGTATGTAAGAAATCAATAGGAGGAAAGAGTTATAAGGTGGGAAGGCGTTTTGAAACACTAAGGATTAAGACCATGAAAGAAGCAAATGTTGAACAAGTCCCTTTTGTATACAGAGCTCCAATTTTTCTACTTGAATAACTAAAGCTTCAACAATACAAGGGAGAAGGATGTGCACTGACTTCACCAAGTTCCTTTTCATTTTGTAAATAACTTTGAAAGAGACTGAGAGTGAGTGACCAGTGTCACACCTTTTTTACGCATCCGCTGTTATCTCTTTGTAGCCGAAACAAAATCTCTTCGCTGAACCAGCTGTTTTTATTATCCTAAATATCCTTACGAGGAGTTTCAGAAAATCGCGCAACCACAGCACTTCATATGAAGAATCTAAAACTTCCTTTTGAGAGTTGTAGTTACGTTTCTGTTACACTAGACGACTATACAAAACAGTTATTCAGACGGGAGCGAATACTTATGGATCAGAGTAAGTGTACTCAACTGTCTAATTCACACCTACATGAGTTGTACTAATGGTGACGTCTAAAATGACTCTGAGGCGCTGGCTGACTAAAAAAACTAGTTCAAAGAAAAGAAATCTGAAAATCACCTCGAACCCAGTACAATCTCATGGATAGATTTTACACTTACTAGGTAGATCATTTAATTTGATGGCAATTAAAAGCAGTTCCAGCCTATGTCGCATTTATAGTAAAATACAAGACTGTACAAGACCTCAGTGCATAGTACAGTGACGAAAGTTGATGATTAGAATATTTCATGATTAACCATATTTAGAGCTGTTGCGATATTCAGTTGTCTATTAAGGGTTGAGTGTACTGCAACGTAGTTCACTCTCTTTTACTATATGGCTGTGAAATATGACCATTAAAGAAATAGATGACATGAAAAGCCCCCCAGATTTTAACCACTGTGGTCTGTATACCATTAGTCGTGTTTGATGCCACCATCTCAGTAACATAGAGAATTGGCATAGAGTTTTGGCCAAAATATGAAAGTCATTTGATGAGGTTGTGAATCTTTATCGTCTTAATGACACCAACATGTGTTACACATTTCCACTCACAGTCTGCATCGTCTCATTGTTAGTTAAAGTAGACTCAGGCTGGAAAAATGTTAGAGATGACCAAACTAGAAAGCTACATCAGTCCTTGAAGTCATTGGTTCTAGTTCTGAGTTGCGTATGATAATGTTAACTTCCAGGCTGAGATCAACGCAACAAGCGAAATCGGTGGTGGAAGACAGTAAGTGATTTGATTTAGAACAGATCTCAATGAAAAGATGTATTCACACATTATCTTTATCTTCATAGTCATATTGAATTTTAGTATCCTCTCATCCTTTCTTGCTTTCTTTTGAGAACTTTCTGCCACCTTTGATTGCTTTCTTCCTCATTTCTTTATCCTTCTTTTTAGGTGATTTGTTGACATGAGGTTGGACAACTTGGACTTTTACTCAGTAATGGCAAGTCCCAAGTTGATAATGACTAATTGACTGTTGATGTGAGCACTCCAAGCAGGCAGAGACTACTTGATTAAGATCCTCACTACAGACTCACATCAATTCATTTACATCTCGAAAAGCTGAACATATAAAGTGTTTTCTAGTCAACTTATCCCCCCTAAGAAAGTTTTTTTTTAAATATTGAATATCTTATGGAATCGACCAAGCAAATGATACATAAATGATAATCTTTAAAGAATTTTAAAACACCAAACTAAAGCTTTTCATGTTTATATACAGATTAACATCGGTCACAACAGAATAGTTTATTCTGTACTCCAGACATAATATACATTAATCTCTCGTTTTTATAAGTCTAATGGTCGGTAAAGAATCTAGATTATATATTTAATAAACTTTTTATGCGTACTAAACTTCAAGCCTTGAAGTATACAAATGATCAAGGTACGTAGAAAGAATTTCCTTAGCAAATGAATAAGCAATGATAAGGGACACACCGATTTCAGACAACGATTGGTTAAGAAAAAAGCCAAAGAAAATGATTTCATTTATTCATTATACATAATTCAATGTTTCAATGAATGAGTGTATAATTTCAGCAGGGAGTTTCACAGAACAGAATTCCCAAAAATAAACTCATTTTAAATACACTTATTGGGAGTAGACTACTGCTACATACTATGACTATTGCGAGTGAAGCTTGACAATGAGAGTAATAAGGCCAATTTCAGTGAAAAACGGGCTCAACAGCTATCCGGACTAGATAATAGTATCATTCAACCAGAGGAGCTTGGCGTCATCTCCAGTCTTCTGGAAAACACCAATGAAGATAGTTTCCGACTTTCAGGGATTGAACAAAAAGAGCCAGTGGATATCAGCAGATTATTTTGAATTAATGGAAACATACGAACGCAATCCTTATGGCTTAGAAAACAATGAGGAGCGGATGAAACCTACACATCTGCTGACAAGAAGTCTACGGAATAGCTGCAAACAGGGGTGGGCAGTGAAGGCTGAACAGATTGAAAAGGCTGTGGTGAAACTTAATAGGAGAAACTTATCTACACTTATGAAAGAAAGTGAGATAAAAAGTCAATAGTTAATTAGACGATGGGAGAGAAAAATGGGTCTGCGATTCCCTCAAAAAGGAGATAAATGGAACGATGGGCAGAACACTTCGAGGACCAGTCCAACTGGCCTCCAGTTATCCCGTTACCCACTATCCAGCGGGGGCCCGTGACACGTGTTACACATCCCTACCATGTGGCGTTACCTAAATCAAATAATAAGTTATGAAAAGGTTAAAAGTAACAAGGATCAGACTTATTATTATTATTATTAGTCCCTTGGGTTCCTAATGGAACATAGGGCTTCAGTAGCACGTCTCCAGTTTACTCTGCTTTCTGAAAAATTTTGGACCTGGTTCCACGACTGCCCGGAGGCTTTCATTTATTCCTCACACCATCTCCTCCATGTCTCCCTCACCACCGACGACCAACTACTCGTTTCCCATCTGGGTTCCACTCAAGCAACTGACTTGGCACCCAATGCCCCAGTCGGCCTTCTCAGTTCATGCTCAATCCATCTCCACTTCCTTCCACTACATATTCCTTGAGCGATAGCTTCTTGCTTCCTTGGTTCGTTGCCAGCCAGTCAGAGTTCCCTGCTGCTCATTCTTATTATTCTGGCCATCTGATCTTCAGTAGCGAGGCAGCGAAGGCAGTTGTTGATGAATATCTGTAGTTCGTTGGAAATGCCCTTCGTGATGCACCGAGTCTCTTAGTCATACAGAAGCACTGACTTGACTGACTTAGTGTTGAAAATCTGGATGTTGTTCACACTGTATGATGAGTGTTGTGCAGGAGATCTCCACACTGGTTTCAGGTTAATCAACGCCTGTCTTGCTGTCTTTCCGATCCTGACTGTCTTTGGTGTTTTCGTGTGTGTCACGGTCGACTGTAGTTGAAGCAGTGCTGCCTAGGTAGTTGTAGGTGAAGGAGGCTACTTCCTTCAAGTTTCTCCCGTTGATGGTCATTGGACATTGTTGTTGCTGTTGTTGTTGTTGTTGCTGTTGTTGTTGGTTGGGTATCTTCATCACCTCTGTCTTCTCTATATTCACTTGAAGTCCCGTCTTCGCTGCCCTGACCTACCTCTTCTGTCAACTTGTTACTTTTCGTCTGTAGATCTTCAAGTTTGTGTGACATCAGACATAAGTCATCACTGGCGAAATCCAAATCTTCTAGGTTCCTTTCCGCGGCGCAGCCAGCGTACCCCTCTCTTCTCGCTCCTCACAGTCACCGGTTGCATGATCCAGTCGACCACAATCAGGAATATCATGAGTGATAGTAGGTGGCAGCCTTGCTTCACTCCTGTCTCCTGTTCTGTGATGATGCGAAGCGTTGCAATTTGGTACTTCCTGCAGAGACTTAGGTCTTCCTTCTTTGGGAGTTTGACAAAATAGCCCTTCTTCCAATCAACAGGCAGGTACCTCCCCTTCCTTCCACACCTTCTGCAATAGTGGTGTGTGCATGTCCGCTGTTGTCTCTGCATCTGCTCTCAGTGCTTCTGGCGGGATTCCATCTGGTCATGCTGCTTTCCTGCATTTCAGTAACTTTATGGCGCTCAGGACTTCCACTTTTGTTTCAGCATTTATGTTCACTTGTAGTTCTACCGTTGCTGGTGGTATTTCTGGACGAAGTGCAGGTGGTGGTCCACTCAACAGCTTTTTGAAGTGGCTAGCCTCTTGTTTCCTTTGTTCGTTTTCTTTGGCAATTAAATTTCCGTCATTTTCTTTTATTGGCTTCATCTGTGTTGATCTCTTCCCTCCCAAATAGTAACCTGGTTATTTGATACAATGTGGTCAGGTGTCTGTCTCTCCTACCTGCAGCCTGTTCTGCTTCACTTGCCAGTGTGTCGTGGAAGTGTCTTTTGTCTTTCCACCCACTCTTCTTCACTTAACTGTCCAGTGTTTTATACATTGTACTCAGCTCCCCTTCTCGTTGTGTATCCTTGCACTGGTTCAACTTCTGCTTCACCATCCTCCTCTCCCTCCTCTATCAGCTTCCATGTGTCCGTCGAGATCCATTCCTTATCTTCTTTCTTCTTCCTTCATAATACGGTTGTGCAGGTTTCTTTCCACATCTCTTTCAGAGACTTCCAGTGTTCTTCCACACAGCTTTCTTCAGGGATGTCCCTCGATATCTCCCATTTTGTCTTGATGGCTGACTGAAGTGAAGATTTCCCTTGTAGTTTCGTCCTTCAGTTCAGTTTCTGTTCTGTGTGTTCAACTTGAACTGTGGTCTATCACCAAATTCGAAGGTTCCTTTCACTAGATAGTAAGTGGTATGAGCCTACATCTGCTCCTCCTCTTGACTGACCTTGTGTCAAGTAGGCTGCGTCTCCACTTTCTTCAAATTCAGATGAAGTCGATCTGATTTTTAGTATGTCTATGTGGTGAACTCAAATCCATGTTGCTTTGTGGATATCCTTGTGCTTGAACACACTACCCCACCTCCAATCACCAAATCGCTGAATACACAGAATTCTGCAAACAATTCTCCATTCTCGTTCATCACCTCACCGAGCGCTGCTCGGTCAATGGGTTAGTTCTCTTCCTGTGTTGTCCCCTCCCAGTTTGCCATTCATGTCGCCCCCACCCATTACAATTTTGATATCACCAACTGAGGTCTCGTTCAGTGCACATTGCAGTTGTCTGTAGAATTCCTCCTTTTTCTATTGCTCTGCATTATTTGTGGGTGCGTGGTGTAGCATTGTATGATTGTGACCTTCCTTCCTTCCTTTTGAGTTGAACCTTGCTGTCATGATCCTGGAGGATAAGATTGGTTCCCACTGCATGAGAACCTTCGATGCTCTTCAAGGGGACATCATGATAGCCACTCCATAACTCAGTGCGCTGTGCTCGTGCTTGTCGTCTGGGTGACAATATCGGAGTAGATTATAGACTCCTCTCCAGTTGACAGTTTCGAGACTCCACTCCCATTCCATCTGCTTTCGCAAATTCCAAGCAATTCAATGTGATACCTCCTCATCTCGTTTGCAATCTGGGCTGCCTTGCTGGATTCAAACATGGTGTGGACATTCCATGTCCCCACGTTTACTTTCGCTTTCATCGAGTGAGGTGTAGACACATCGGCTAATTGGCTTCCCGAAGGCTTCCACCAACCGGCGTCATTTCGCCTCTCCGATTCCAGCGAGGAATAATTTTTTTTATTTTTTATATTTCGTTTGTGCTTTGAAGTTTTTTTAGCGGTTGGATTTGTTTTAAAAGGTATGGTTGCTAGCTCCATGCCCAACCTTCCCTCTTTACCCGGGCTTATTACCGGCTAGTAACTAGTGAACTAGTTAACCGGATAAGGTTAAAGATAAAACTTGGGGCCGGTATATTAAGTCTTTAACTTTTGATTTGAACCATATAGGGAAATGATATATTATTTCCTTTGAGATAATCAGCGGGTAGCCCTGGACCGAAATTTCCTGCTTTTGGGCACTCGTCAGCAAGAACCTGAAATTTCAACGAAACTGATGTCCCACCTGAGATTCGACCTCGCGTCACCCAATGCTATAGTCAAAGACGTTACCACTGAGCTATTCGAGTCACAATCTTGCAGATTGAAGTCAGTTTAACAAACGAAATCGATGGTTGGAGACGCTATATGATATGGCTTAGAATCAACCTAAATGGCATAAATACATCGACATCTTTTCTATATTTCGTTTGGTTACATATTTCATCCCCTCATCTTATAATGCTCTATAATTTTTGATTAAATTTTTGAAAATCCCTGACTTTGGTATAGTATCTTGATATACTGACGAGAATGGGCCAACCTATACCGTTGGACAGTCATACCATGCCCCATACTGATGTTGAATGGTTGAGTTAGTATGTGACCCTAAAGTTGTTACGATGAGCAGTTGTGAGAGCGAACGACAGTCGAGAGTTGAAAAAGTTCAACCCAAGTGGTTCGTAAAGAGAAATCAAAAGACATGTAATCAGCTGAGTTGATAGTATCTCGGACTGAAAACATTTATTAGTGAAAACGAACCCTATTTATAGAGCTTACAGTAACCTTGAAAGACAAGGAATAATTAGTACAGTTAAAGAGGCAGGAGACAATCGGAACGCTAGCGGGTCATATGAAATATGACCCATGTGCGGGAAAAAGAGTGCGAAGAAAAACAGTTGAAGTATATACAAATTTCAAGTGTGGAAGATAGGGGATTTAGGCATCTCTAACAGAAATATACGTTGGTTAGAAACAGAAAACAATTTGAAACGTTGTTTCATTGTCTCAATCATTATATTGTACATTAAAATATCCCATAGGCAGCTTAACAGCCCTCAAAGCAATGAATTAAACAGCTCTCGATACCCACATTGTATTTTTAGTTAACAAAATAACAACCGGAAGAAATAATAGTTTGTCAATTATTCTACCTAGGCACTATCACCCCTTTCACCAATAGCTCTTCGAATTATTTATGATCACAATGAACCAGAAGCTGAAAAATGGATCTACGTGTACGAATGGTTATCACCATGGCATTCGACTACAATGTATACATTTAATCAAATCCGTCACAGATTTCCAGGAATTACAATCATTTGTTGGTTGGCGTTTATCACTAACTGGATTAACTATTTCTCACGATATGAATTATATCATACACAACTTGGTTACTCACGTCCTGGTACTACAATATTTTCAAATGCATGGAGATTTACAGAGCCTGCAGCTTCCTGTTTCATCTTCTCTCATTCACTGACTTGTGGTCAGATAGCTCTTTTCGATGGATGGATATTATGGTCAATTGGTTTAGTTATGCAACAAGTTACTAAAATCACTATGAAATTACTAGATTATATAAATAAGAAATATAAAAAACGCCCACCTCCATGTCGTTTATCTTCAAGCAAAGACCCTCTTAAGGGTTACACAACGGTTATGTATATGTTTACTGATGTTGATGAGATTTAGAGTATATTTCAGTGTTAAACTGTGTTATTTTTACCTGTTAAAGAAAATGTTCATTCATCATTTTTGCATAGTTATAGTGAAAATATGTTGAACACATGATTTTATCCTGTTTATCTAAGTGAAAATGTCATAAGTTAGTAAATTTTGAATTAAAACACTTGAAAGCAGATTTTTAACAAGGGGCTGGGAAACAAGTTTTCTTTGATTGAGAAAGCTTTTTCAAATAAACAAATGACTTTGAATTGTTTATGAGTATCAAAAGATGATTAGAAAAAAAAATATTTACAATTACGGATAGAAAAATTATGCCCAAGGTTATATCAATACAGTCGAAGCTTGAAGTTATCCCCTCTAGTCAAGATTCTGTAACTCAGTTGGATCGATTTACAAAAAGTCCTAATGATATATGAACGATAGAGATACTTCACGATGCATACTACTGACTAAAATCAGTAGGTAGAAACTAATGACACCAATTAGTGGTACTTACGAAACTGATCAAGGCGATCTAAACAGTCGACAAGCGTTTTTCTAGATTAAAAACAAGGTAATCAACCACGTTCCTGGGAAGAAGATATTGCTACTTTGGCTTTTTCTGACAAAAAATTGGTTACATCAAGGACAACAAAAATCTTTTGATTCCAATACTAGAATCCAAGACAGTGTTGACGAGATTCCTTATTTTTAGTGTGAAAAAACACAGGTAAGTGTAACCCAATTTCTAGACTTTACTATGGTTCCCTTCGGAAATGTAAATGTCTATGCTATAAATGCGGTTCTATTCAACACGAGGAATAATAGCAAGAAAGTATTCCTCACGGGTTGACATCAGTTGGAGAACTTTTGGAAGCCTCGGGGAACTGGAGAGCTGTCCTAGTATGGGGTGCTTCAGCAGTGCTCATTAGTGATATGATTTGGGGATTGATATCCCAAAGTTTTAATGAGAAGCTGTGAACTGTGGGGTTAACCAAGTCAAAAGTAAAGCGGATACCAGATGAAGACCTTGGATAGTGCGGCTGTATCGCGAACTGATCGACGTAGCAGAATGTGGACCACAGAACCCCGATCCAGTGACTTAGTGGTTAACGCGTTTATCGTGAGACGTAAAGGTACTGGGTTCGATTCCTGTAGACGTTGTGGGTGCGTACTGCTGAGGAGTCCTATGCTAGGACGAAACAGCTGTCCATGGCCTTCAGGTTTTCAGTGGCTCCCCAATTGTGCTAAGTCCTTGAGGAATACTATTCTTGAAATAAATAAAATCTCCGCAAACCTTGAACTAAAATATCAAGAAAGGAAACCGAAGATTTACGTGGGTTATGTTACTAACGGATAAGATCTGGCTAAGAAGTTCTAGCAAATGATATCAGAGAATCTCAACTACTCACTTCAGTCAATGGTACACACCATGCAGTTCTTATGCTCGTTTTCTCCAACATATTCGCAATATGAATATTTTGATGTCAAGAATAGGTTATGGTGGGTAGATTCTCAAAAGTGAGTCAAACCAACTTGAGCTATTCTTTCAGCAGAAACTGTATATCTTGTTAACACTCACTTTGATTATATGCTTTACTAACTTTGAGTAAAAACTCATGGAGCAATATCAACTCAGTTAATCACTAATTATGAGCATGAAACATAATATTACGACTCAGTGATCCAAGCGGTTACACCTCACATCAGCATATCAAGATACAAGGGACAACGAGAGAAAAGATAATGAAGTGTAACCAATATAATACAAGTGGAAGACAGTCATGAAGCAAAAGGACAGGGGTTACAGAGAACAATGAACTGTGATAACTCGTTAACAATGAAAATAAGGTGCAGGTGATATTCACTGCATTTCTTGATTTAGCACATTTTAGCTCGAGCCATTACTAATAAATATCACTTAATGTTATAATCTTTTCGAATCAGTGCATCCGATTATGTGTGAACATTAATTTCCAGCTGCATACTTCATCAGTAAAGACTATTAGAGGTTTGATGATTTCTAGTTGGTATTCGTCATGGACTGACATCAGTTGGAGAACCGTTGAAAACCTGGGAGCACTGGACAATTTTTCCGTCCTAACGTCGGACTCATCAGCAGCGCGCACACATGACCCAGTCAGGGACCGAAACCGCAGCCTCCAGTATTCGCGGTGAGAACGTTCCCATTGAGTCACTGGATTGGAATCCAATGGTTCACAATTCGTGATATAGCAGGATCACCATTCCATGTCGTTGTTTAGTATTTTATCCTCACGTCCAACTTGGTTTACCTCACTAATCATGATTTATCACTAGAACTTCGGCAAATCTCATGTTATAACAAACACTTGTATAACTCTACGAATGAACCAACTATTGGGTTATATCTAGTCATAACCGTTTAACTGCTTAGACCTGGTGTTAATACAGACGATAAGAATACAAGACAATGAATCCAGGCTTTAATGGTTTCGTTATATACCAGCTATTACATTTTATCCTATTGTAGCCACACTTCCAAACGTTAGACTATTAATATCCTAATTCTTTTGCCTATAACCAAAGCCTTAATCAAAACAATTGGAATATTGATCATCAATAAGACTTGTAAGAAATCGCAGCGCTATGCATACAACACAAAAAAGACTACAATGTCAGCGTACATCAGTTCCATGAACTGCAACAAGTAAACGAAAACTCAAGGTGTAACAGAAAAGCCTTGTTCTGATTTAGACAACAGCTTTAGCAAGTTATGCTAATCATAATTTAATTCGTGAAACTTTAAAAAAACATTTGCACTGGCCCAATCTGGTTAATTCACTCTTCAGTCTTGGAAGACTTAGTTGAAGCGAACCTAGAAAGTATAATCAATCGTGCACTTGAAATTTACAACGGTTATCAATATGCACATAAATGAGACTGTGCTCAGTATTACCAAGTTTAAAGCTCAGTATATTTTGAACTTCACATAGTGATATCAGGAAAGTCCAACAAGGTAAATATTAAGATGCATTAACTCATCCGATGACGGCCCTGGGAATATAGTTTTAATGTTACCTAGGAACTCCGGTAGGCCAAATAACTACTATCGCCAGCAAAAATCCCTTAGAAAGTACCAACGCAACGAGTGTTTGGAGAATTGATGTGAATACATGATGAAAAATTAAGGAGATTGAATCTGTATATTGCATAATCGAAACTGAGAAAAGGAGTTCCTACAAATACACCTTTCAGAAACAAAGTACTTATTGGTATATACTGAAAGTTGATAAGCGACGAATTTCATAGTTTCCATCATATTCCCGTCAATCAGAAGGAAGTAAGCACAAATCGATGATTATATCTATTATGAGGTAATTTGTTTCGCAGCGTAATCCAGAGACTGCGTGTTGTCCTATTTGAGACTCCTCAGCTGGGTGCACCTACATCCCAGTGACTGATGTTTCCGCTGAAACTTAAACCCAACACCATTGCTTGGAACACCAAAGCGCTATCTGTATGCCAATAGATACCGACCAACTCGGTCCAGTTTAATAATCAACAGGAAATTATAAGCATCGGTAAATAACATGTGTATTCATTACGAAAATGTGAAAGGATGTACCTATAATTGATCTGATGTTATATGCCTCATTCAGTTGCAGGGTTGTTAGTAGATACTTATTGTTGTCAGTGAAATTTGAAGTTAGGCGGAGACGCTGACAAAATCCAAGGCTTTCTGAAAGCCTTGAGTAGAGTATATTCGGTATGCACTTGTGTAACGTTAGATGCCACTTCAGGACTGATCTCCAGTCACTCCCAATATAAGGATGGGAAGTGAAGTGATACAATGCGCTGACCACTTCACTTGCATAGGGAGCTGCATCAACCCGAATAGGTTGGATGCTGACGAAATCTCAGTCCGCTTACAGAAATCCTGTTTAGCATTTGCCAGCTTGCGTTGTCCCTGCCACCCGCCATATCTGACTACCTACTAATAGGCGACTATACGGCGCTGCAGTCCGCTCTGACCTATTATGCGCCCGTGAGAAACAGCCATTGAAAGTTCCATTTTAGTCTGTTTATTAGAAATATCATAACGTGAAGGAACAAAATCATTTGCTGGACAACATCGTTTCCCACACAATTTATTGTCCATATTCATATCAGGCAACTGACTACACAACTTTGAGACAGACTTTATATATTCCTAATTTTCTCTCCTTCTCTGTGACGACAAGGGTAGTAGAACTTTCTATATATCTGGGACAGGTACAGAGTCATCTCGATTGCATGTGTTTGGTGCTGATTCGATAAACAAAGATTCGGTTATCAATCTCTCCTTCCACCCAACTAAGTTAGCTTTCAACACTGTCGCCCTATCCCACGCTACTGTGTGGTTGTGTCATCGCATGCAGAGCTATAGCCGCGCTTTTCTCTAGATCTCTTATCTTATTAGGATCTACTAATCTTGATTTAGCTAGGTTTTTATGCTCTGTTATTCTAATCGACCCTGGTCGACTGCAGTCGACCAGGGTAGATTAGATCCCTTCTCTTTCCATACACCTTTGCTTATTTTGATAAGACTTTCTCTACTCACTTAGCCTTTGCAAGTTGCTGCGAAATGTGACAACCTGAACTGATTCATTTGTGTGCGAGATATAAGGTAGACTTTATCTGTTTGAAGTAGTGTATGAAACTCATTTTTCATAACATTATTCTCTTCAGAAATGTTGCACTGTATAGCTGCTTGTAACTGCCTAAGCACAATTTTTTTCTGAGAAAAAAAGAGTACTACTTTAGAATCAATCATAAACTTAACTGGTAATTTTTCTTTACACCTTATGAATATTTCACTTTTTCAATAACGTTGGTATAAATTTGAAAACTACTCGATTTGATCGCGTTGTGGCTCATTGGTCCAGGGAATTGATTCCCAACAGTTAACGGCTCCCAACCCCGAGGTTTAGGAGACTAGTTAGTACCAATAGACCAATAGACTGACAGGTGTGGCTTCTCACTTACTTCACGAATGTGCACAAGGT